TGGAGTCGAGCTGGCAGCAGTCAGAGTCATGAGAAGATAAGCTTTCCCAAAGTGAAGGAAAGGTGGGATGAAGTTGGATCCGGTGTCGCGAGATTCGGACGAAACTTGACAGCATGATCCAGCCGGCCGGTGTCGTCAAGGTGGCAGGTGCTGATGAAGAAGGTGCGGCTCAATCCATGCAGGCAGGTGGTGGTTCTTTCCTTGTCCATGCCCTGCCTTCTGTCCCTTTCCCTTTTTCCTAGGTACCTATCGCGAACCTCGTCTATGGCTCAATATCGCGCTCCTACTGTTGAAGGAGCAACTTCCAAGGCGAATTGAAGCAAAGTGTTCATGAAGAGGTATTCTTGCTACCAAGTTCCCCCAACTGTGCAGCAATGCAAGATATCAAAAATAACCGGCTGTCGAGGCTATCTATTGCCTTACGTCCCTTATGCTTACCGTTGCCTCACACCCCCAAACACGGAGGAAACCGAGCGAGGAAGGGGCATCGTGGGATATGTTTCGAAACACTCAATGACGTAGCCCCCCCGAGCTGCCTTTGCCTCTCTCTTTCTGAAACGGCAGCATGTCGCCCTCTGTGTCCCCTACCTACTATATCGCTCCTTCCACGATCCATCTGCACATGGTCCTCTAGGTATTCTCTCACATCCGATGAAAGCACCGAGTACATACTCAAAAGTGTTGTGAACGCCCACCCCCGTGTGCACCCCGAGTCAATTAACATCTTCTCTCATAACAATTTTTCATCTCTCTTCGGCATCGATCCAACCACCCAGCCACGGTTATCCGAGTGCCCTGTGCAGTCCACAGTCTGTCTCCCCACGCCATTCCGCAGCTGTGCCACCCACCGTCCGTTGCCCGGGGGCCGTCCCTGATAGTGAGGCTTTGCCTGACATTGATTGATTCGGACGTGGCTCTGCCGACACAAAGACGCGCAACCCGCCACGCATTCGTCAACTCTCCCTCCATACCTACTTATCTCACCCCTTGCAGATACGGCTTGCGAGATACACAGTAGATTTGGGACATTGATCCCCGTACCACGTAGGTATAGCAATTGCGACGACCAACAAGTGCTCGAGTCGTTCCCAGCGCCACTCACCTGTCTTGGCCTGCCAGGCTGCCTTACTTGACAAGCCTTGAGGTTGACCAAGCTGCCTTGTCGGCTTCCTTGCAAGTCGCAGGCCTACGAGAACTGACTTGGTGCTTGCGAGCGACACCCAGCGCCAAATCGTTTACTAGTCGGATGAGTTAGCTACTTCCGGAACACCTGCTTACTGTATCCTTCAGCGCCTCCGGTGTAAACTCTATTCCAGTAAGCGTCTGAGGGCAAGCTTGTACTGCCCAGGTGGTCATACCCGCAATAAACCCGATGGTGCAGCCCTAAACCACACCGTTCGACCTCTTTGACTGGAAGCCATTATGAAGCGTAAAGGGAAGCTTCCGGATCGGCGTCCGACCATGTGTCGAAGAGGTCGGCTGCTCGTGGAAAAAAGGACGAAAGCACGATGACGGTGATGATCTATGACGATCATAGCCTCCTACGCATGGGATGACACGCGGGCGTTGGTGAAGTCATCTAGGGATGAAACACCATCTATAACTGCGGATGGTTATATCCCATGCTACCAGAACAGCAACGAAGGGGCTTCAATGCCCGTCAACATGCCAATCCTTGGATCCTAACTGCCACACGCCCACGCCCTCACATCAACAACGGCGCATCCGTCCAGCAAGGCTGCGACGTCGTTGCGCCCGCGCCTGCTCTGTTCAGGCGAGACATGGCGCTGTAGCCCGGTCGACTGCGTACGGTGCGCCCACTTTAGACGGGCCTTCCCTTCTATTCTTTTCTCTAACGCACACGGGATACAAGTGAGGCAGGCTCGTATACAAGGCTCACAATTTATCGATTTCCTCTCTGAACATCTGGGACATGTCTTGGTGGTCTCCCCAGGATTCGCCAACTACCCAAGCATCCAAGGCTTGCCAGGGAATTTGGCCGAGCTCACCGAGACAGCGCTTACCGTCTTCGTGCTGGTCGGCTTCTACGTTATTTGGACGTACGGGCTCTGGGCACAGCAGAGCAGGACACGTACACAGTTGCCAGGGATTTTGTCGATCATCACTTTTCGCGACGTCAATCAACGCAGAAAATGGGCGGTCCAAGTACCCTCGTAGGGCAGCTAGTGGTGTTCGCAACGCCTCGGTCAGCCTAAACCATCACCAGCTAGCTTCAACTCTCTTTCTAGGTCAACGCAGGCTTGCAAATCCCCCGCAGGGACCCTTTACGCGAAAAGCATTGGCGCTGCCGTCGTAGCCGTTTTCTTTGCTAACGCATCTGGAGAAGGGACTTAGCAAATTCGAAGCAGGTTCAGTAAAGGAAAACAACTGGGACGAGACGCCAATAGCAGTAAGACGGCGCGGACGTCCGCCAAGGCCTGACGAAAACAGCCGAATGTCTTGAGGGCCGGCCGCTTACATATGTGGCATTGTTTCAGATAAGCCAAGCCAGCTACCTAGTAGCAGACCGCATTTCACTTTCCGATATACATTGTATTGTCGCAAGGCCAAACACAAACTAACTAAATTGCACAGGATGCTGTTCGCAATGGAGTTGACGAACTCGGGAATTGAGGCTCCTGCACTTTTAGAACCGAGACCACAACGTTCGACAATCTACCCGCTTCGTCTCACCTGAATCTCGCATTTCTCCTCCCGTTCTCGAGAGAGTAGTATCTTCCCCACGGGAAAGCGCCATAAAAAAAAAGAGGGAAAAGTTGGCAGCGTGGCAACGGCAGCAACATCAGCAGCGCAACCCGCAGCGAACCGACCAACCAAAGTAGCCCCTGTCCCTGAATTAGTTGCATTCCGCAGACATCTCAAACGCTCGAAGGAGGGTAGAAAGACACCAGATGCTACCCCCTGACCCACAAATACAGCGGTTCTACTATCGCGGCATCGTTTTTGTTTTTCGTCGATGCCGCGAGGGAATTATTTGAGGTCAATTATTCCGCGTCAAAAGTATGACGGTAGTAGTCTTTACCTATCCCATTGGCTCTCTTCTCTGTGTACAGAATAAGTCTCTGTACTTGGGCAGGATAGCCTGTACACACCTATGAGATAATTGTGGAGTTTTTATTTTTGACAGTACATAGTTAGAAGAAAATACAAAGAACATGTGAGCTGTGCCTGGCGGAAGCAAGGCCATCCCTAATAGGAGGTTGTATGGGAGAGGATGAAATGCGAGGCTTCGGGTCCTGTTGGACAAGGAACCATCCTGGAGAGAACTTCGTTTGGGTCAAAGGTTCGTTCTTGTTGACCAGGACGGGGCGACGGGGTTTGTGGTGTCAAACATGAGTAGTTCCCTCCCCCCTCCCCCGTTCTAATATGCAATTAAGCTATATGTTAAGACGTAGCTGTGTACGTCTGGGGACGCGGGCGCACAAGGCTGACATGTTCAGACTGGACCTCGTCGACGACGCGATACGTTCGTTCCCCAACACATCCTTGGTTTTTTTTTTTTTTTTGCGCCCGTCCTTCCCTCAGTGCCTCCATGCTGAGTTGAATTCCATAGAGGCATATCCCGGGACATAATTTCCAAGCCAATGGCACCCTTTCTTCCACTGTTATACATGCACCGACTGGGGACACGCAGAGTTGAACATGACTTGCGCAGCATCACAAGGCATTCTGGAAATGGAAGAGGGTAAAATAAATAAAAAAGTCAATGACTTATACACTCTCCATTTACCCCGCCGTCCCGCCTGCGCGGGTTGCCGAAAGACCGCATTTGGCATCATATTGGAACATGTTACACCCAGTATCCATACTGGAGTCGCCGAGCGCGCCAACAAATGAGGCTGGATCGTGTGTCAGCGCTCACGTTTTCATGCTTCTTCAGCTAGCGTTCCCTACGCGCCTTTCGCCGGGCGTGTCGGCATGCCGGGAGCGTGGGATCGGAAACTTGGAACGAGCCCAGGAAGCGGCAACCGTCGGGCTGCCGATGTGACATGTGGGCTTCTTCTCGATTCATGATCCGAGAAAAAGGGATCCCTAGCCTCGTCCCCGGGTTACTCGTCCTTCGAACCATCCCGCGCTGCGCCTTTCCCATCCTGCCCATGCTTTCTCACTCAGGGACGCCGTTCGAGACGAGGAACCGCTTGCCTTCGAAACGCCAAACCCCACTCAAGGAGGAAGTTAGAACATCGGGTCCGAACAGGACGAAAGGTCATCGGCGGCGCCTCCCCGTTCTCCATGCTGTGTGGTATACAGCCTCGTTGTACCACACCTCGCTCTCTCGCGCATAAGAGTAGGATTCCTAGCTTGCCATGCTGCTTCTATTCTGGTTCCCAGAGGAAAGTGGGTAACCAACCTTCCCATCGGCGATGCCAGTCAATCAGCACAGGGGGGAGGGACTTGGGGAGCATCGCATCACAGTACATACTACAGAGAGAGCTTCACATAGAAGGGGGCCGTCGGAACCCCCCATCCGAACTCGAGTCATATTACAGCGAGTGTACGGGTACTTTTCACAGGGCAAGCGGGGAGGGGGCCATACAGATGGGACGAAATGAGCGAAAACCTTCCGAATAACTATATGGACCCTATTTCGAGAGGGAGAAAAATGAATTATTTTCTGCCCGTCACGGAACGCCGCTGGTTTTTTTTTCTTGCTCGAAAATGCTCCACCAACATAAGAGACTTCTACACAATGCGAGTATTATGACTCAAGTACAATGGCTACCTTGCGCCCGTTGACGCGCAAACACCCCCCCGCATGCTGCCCGCCTTTCCTCCTCTCAGCCTCTGGTCTTCCCGATCTCTCGCGTTCGGACGCGCCTCCTTGCTAGTATGTAGACTGTGGGCCGGTCGTAAGAAAAAATAACACATCCCCTTCTTGGATATCGCATGTAGAAGAACACCCTAGAAAAAAACGTTGAACCTTATCTTCCCGCTGTCGCTTTACATCCCCCTCGACCCTGCTAGTCCCCGTGGGTCACTTAGAGCATGATCGCTAACTCCGACCTGTCAACCTTCTCTTCGTCCAAGTTGGGATAGTACGGCACCATGGCATCGGCACCCTGGACATAGGCGTCGTTGTAGAGCCGCCAGTAGGGCTGGCGGACCTTCCGTGCCGGATGGAACAAACCTGCCCAAACGTAATTGAGTACCACACCGGGACCGACAGCCATGCGGATGGCCTCAATGGCCTCGATAATACGGTCAATGACGTGCGGACTAGTCTCAAAGAGGTTCGGGTACAGGAGGTTCAGAAGATGGACCATGGCATCCTCACACCCAAGACCAACAACGCCAAGCGCAATGTGCTTGACGACCGAGGCAGCCGTCTGGCGATGTACTTGGTCGCGGTCAATGAGGGCGTCCTCGAGCAGAGGCGTGACGGCATAGACGTAGTCCTTGGCCATCTCGCCAATGTACTCGAACAAGAAGGATAGAGACTTGAGCACACCGTTTTGCACGTTCAGCTCCGGTACGCGGTACTCGTTCATGAGCGCGGGGAGAACGGTGAAAGGGGCGCAAGTCTCGGCGACGATTCCAATAGCAACAGCCGTGTTGACGCGAGACTGACGCTCCTGCACGCGAAGGTTGTTCAGCAGCGTGGCGAGCACGTCCTGGGGACCAATGGCCTTGGCGATGAAGCCAAAGGTGTTGTTGGCGGCACGACGAATGCCCTTCTTGTGCGCCTTGAGCATGTCGAGCAGCTCGAAGCAGATACGCATCCATTCGCGCGCGTTGACACTTTCGGGACCACGGTCAGCGATACGACCGACGAGGTCAATTGTGTTTTCCTGGACTTTTTCGTGACGGTTGCGCAGAATAGGGGTAAGTCGAGGGAGGAGGTCTTTGATCGGAGGCTGCATCTGCGTGATACCTACCACCGTGACGATAGAACGTAGGGCTCCCAGGATGGAACCGAGGACTTCGGGGTACTCTTCGCCCAAGTATTCGTAAAGCACGATGCCGAGCTTGCCCATCAGGGCGTCCTCTCCGCATTGCTTCATGACCATAGCAATTCGTGAAATGAGGTCGGCCGCTTGCTGTCGTACTGTTGCCGACTTGTTGTTCAGCCGCCAGAGGATGGTACTGACGATCTGCGGCAGGTAAGGCTTGCAGCGCGATCCAAGAGCGTTGACGACAGAGCCAAATCCGTTAAGCATGACGATGTCTTCCACACTCTGTTCCTGGAACGAGTGCAAAATACCGTCAATCAACCGCTCTTCGAGACGCTCGCCGATATCTGCGGCGCCTAGACTGGCGACAATCTTCTCCACCGTCTCGACGGTCATCTTTCTGTAGGCTTCGCTCTCGTCCTTGAGGTTTACCACAATTCTCTCCAGTATCTCACTGACGCCGACCTTTTGGCCGATATCAACCGTGGTCTCGACGACTTGCCTGTAGTTACGCTTGTCCAAAGCCATTCGCCGCACCCAAAAACTCTTGAAGAACTCGTCCAAGACGTGCTCCTTGAGGTAGCCTGCAGTAACACCATCAGTACCAGCGCACTGAGACACCACCTTCAGGACAACCTTCTTCATCTCCTCATCCGGCGAGGAAAACTCGCGAAGGAGAATCTCCATGATTTGACTGGTGTAGTAGTTGGCGTACTCCTCGTCCATCAGCGGAATGATGAAGCCTACAGCCTTGAGGAAACCTGCCAGGCCCTTGCCTCGCTGCTTGCGAGCTCCGGTCCATAGCGGGTTGAGAATGTCGTCGAAGCTCTCGATACCGTAGGGGTTCGACGCTTCGGCAAGCGCGGCGATGGCCAAACTGGTAACAGTCCTGACCTTTGTTTGTTCGTCATTGAGGTTGGGGCCGATACAGTCGACCAGACCCTTCAGATGTGGCAGGACAGCGCAGCCCATTAGGATAGGAATTTGCTGCACAATCTTGACACCGGTGTGTCGGGCCTGCCATGACTTCTTGCTTCGACAAACGGCTCGGAGAAATGGCAACAGGGCTGGAATGCCCAAGGCGGACGCAACCACAGCAAACGCTCTGGCGGTGGTGTTTCGGACGTACTCGTCGACGTGGTCAATATCTGGCCTCATCGTGCTGATCATGGTGGCCAGGCCAGCAGCTTTACTGAGGTTAGAGATGATCTCACGACCTTCCACTCTGGCGTAGTAGTCCTGGTCGATGAGCAGCGGCTCGATGACGACCAAAATCTTGTGGACGTATGGCCGCACGAGATCATCGAGCTTGTAAAGGATACGGTCGATGACCTTGACGAGCAGATGTCGCTCCTGGTCTTCCAAAGTCTTCTCCATAAGCAGGGGGAGAATCTGGTCGAAGAGGGGACCGGCTCCAAACTGCCTGGCATTGTCGGTGAGCTGTCTCAGAGCAGTTTTACGCATTGGAGGAGTACCGTTCTTGACTTTCAAGAGCAGCCTCATGATCTTCCTCTCCTTCATCTCCTCTACGCTCAAGCTGTTCTCGTCGGAGCCGTCGGTCAGCTTACCGAAGTACGCCATGTCCTCGGCCTTGAAGAACTGCAAGTCGCCAATGCCAGGGATTTCCGCCGGCACAGGCTTTCCGCTTAGTCTGACAGAGTCGGGGTCCTGCATCATAAAGCCGGTCTGCGGTGCTGGCGTGGCCATGAGCTTGTGGGCAGGAGCGCGGATTGGGGCGTATCCTGGCGGTGGCTCGAGAATCTTGTATCCTTGCTCCTCGCCGGGAAGAAGCGCGTCTAGCTCCTCGTCGCTCAGAGGTGCGTTGCGTCCCGAAATATCCGTTCCAAAGGTTGTGGGCAGGATAGCACCGCCCGCTTGTGAGGGATGCATCGGCGTGGCAAGTCCCTGATTCCCCATGGGAGTGGCCGAGGGCGCCTGGTCCCATCTTGATCGCTTCTTCGGCGCGTCAGCGGACTCCAAAGAAGGAGCTTGATCCCATCGAGAGCGCTTGGATTTCGCGGGCTCTGAAGACTGGGCGGCTTCCTCATCCGCAGCTTGCGCAGATGACACGTCCCATCTCTTCTTGCGCTTCCTTCCAGCAGACACAGCGTCGGTGGAACCTGCTTCGGCGTTCTCCTTATCATCATCTTTCAATGTCGCCTGAGCAACATTGCCGTCTTCGTCGGGTCCGGCTGCTGCCTTGGCTTTGATTTTGCGTGCAACCTCCTCTTCCTCTTTCTCGAGCTCTCTCCTCGCCATGATCTCACGGTAGCTAGAGCCATCCTGGTTGTCGCCATTGGAGAAGGCATCGGTTCGTACCGGAGAGAGGGCGCGGTCGAACCGGCGCTTTTGGTAGTCGGTCTCGCGATCGGTGATCCTGTTGCTCTTCTCGCCACGGCCCGCCAAGGGGTCATCTTCCTCGACGCCGTCGCCGCGCGCAAATTCGTCAATCATGTCACGTGAAGCCGTGTACTGGCCGACGAGACGGCGCGTGTTGTCGGTGCCCTCCATCTCGTCATCATCGTCGTCGCCGGCGGGGATGGACGTGTTGTATCCGGCAAACTTGTCGACGCCATTACGATCGTACAAATCGGTATCGAAGCTATCGGTGAGTTTCTGCTTCGTGCCGGTGTCGGCACGCTGGTTGGTCGGGTCGAAGGTGTGCGAGCCCTTTTTCGCAGCGGCGGCAGCGTTGCGCTCCGCCTGGAGCTTCCGGACGGTCTCGAAGTCTGCGTCGGACATTTTGAATTATGGGTATTGTGGCTTCATGTCACTTGTGAAGTTGCAAGTGGTCGATCGACGATGGCGGCGCGCATCAGTAATTGTTGTTTTGTTGCTGATGAGGCTGAGGGGGCCAGGAGTCGTCGCAGGAGAGTTTGCAATCTGCGTAGGCAAAAGCTTTGCTGTCTCCGACGCCACCAGAATTTGGTTGCCCGAACTTTAGCCGAGAAACGCCAAGACTGCGTACTTATCGACCTCTACCTTTAGAGTGCGACATTGACAGACCAGCCTTTCCGTAGGGATTTCCTTTTGGTTTTCTCTCTCTATTCATTGACGGGATGTTTCAGGTAGACCAAGACTGTCAAGCTTGCGACTTCCCTTGCATGGTGATTGAATATATGGAGGAAAGTGACAAAAAATAATAACAACAGTCACAGGGGGTAGACATCAAACATTAACCGGCAGTTAACGAATAGCAAAAGACCTAGTAATAACATCGAAATCAAGTAAGAAAGAACATGAGAATCCCACCGCATCTGAGATGGATCAGCTCCTCTTCAGCGTCTGCGACCGAGTCCTTCTCCTCTTTGGCGACAATTCCATAGGTGCCGTCTCTAGCACCTTGTGATCTACCTCGACCTTCACCTTCGCCCTTGCGGCCTTGCGCTTCCTACTCAGCCCTGACACTTCTTCGTCAAGAGCAACCTCCTTCTTCACCGTCACCATCTGATCCTCATCCTTCTTCACCGTCCGCTCCGCAAACGTCTTCAAGTCCGCCGTGAACAGCACAGAGTGCGCCCAGCCCGCGTACTTGCCCCATAGCTCCCTAAAATGGTCACCCACGGCGTCGTACATAGCCTTGTTGAACGTCTTGGTCTTGGTCTTGCCAAACCTGTAGTCCCGCTGGGCAATCTGCCAGACGTGTGTGTCCACAGGCACGGCCTCGCCCCAGCCCAAGCCCATCAGACAGACGCAGTCGGCTACCTTTGGCCCGACGCCAGCCAGTTGGAGGAGCTGCTCGTGTGCTTCTTTGTACGTGCATTGAGGCAACTGAGAGCCTTCCGGGGTCTTTCTGTAGCATGGGTTCTCCGGGTTCGTAAGGCTCTCGAACCAGCCCTTTGGCCGGTCCTTTACAATGATCGACGCCGTCTGCGCGATGTATTTCGCCCGGTAGCCGAAGCCGAGCTCTCTAAGATGCGCTTCTACCGAGTTTCCCGTCAGAGCCTCGGGTGTCGGGAAGTCATGAAACGGCTCATCTCCGATATGGCCGATAAGTGGCCCATAATGCGTGCAGAGCTTGTGAACCTAGCCAAAAGTGAGCAGAGAGCTATGCTGGTGTCCTGTTATTCGTCTCTCACCATCTGTGATATTCTCGAAATGTTGTTATTGCTACTGCATATGAAGCAAATCAGAGCTTCCCATGCATCTTGGCTCAGCATGCGGACGCCTCCGAACTTGGGGGCCCTCTTGCGGAAGTTCAAATCTGCTTCAGACCATTGCTCGTACAAAGACTTGAGATCCAGCTTGAGACTCAAATAGTGGCGCAGTAACTCCTCAGTGTCGTCGCCGTTAACTTCGCCATCGGTGATCGGGGGCGTAAGCGGGTAAGTTGGCTTTACAGGCCAAGTGACCTTGTAATGCAGGTGAGTTGGATCTTGCTTTAGCGCCACGATTCGTCCATACAATGTGCAGCACCTAGGCCTGAATTCAGTACGGGACTTGGAACACGAAGTTAAGCAAAGTTATCTAACCACTCGTCGTTGATTTTGCGCCATCGGAATGATTGTCCGCATCTCAGGGTCGTGTCAATACATAGCTCGGCCAAACTGAGAGGCAGTTTGCGCCACTCAGTCACCCTGGCTATAGACATGCTCAAGGTCCAGTTAAGCCTATCGAGTCCCTGTGAAAAGCTCAGCTGGACAAAAGATTTACAGGTCAACTATAGCTCTTTTGAAAAAGTACAGGAGAGAGCAAGCGAGAGGTAATATTGTAGGTTGGCAGGTGGTTCATGAAGATGAGCGAAGCCGCTGCTCTCACTGAGTTCTTCCCCTAAACGGGCTGGCAACTGGCCACCCAGTCGCCACCTAGTCGCAGATTGCAATTCTGAGCTCATCAGCCACATACGTTCAGCCACACCACAGTCTGCCGCAATCGATTATCAACGATGGATAGACAGTGCGCACTGTATTCTTATACGGTACAAAGGTCTCCACACCTTCTCGCACTCAAGCTCAAGAGCATCACGACCTTGCTGAGCAGCTCACCACAACCAGCATCCAACCCAACCGCCCACCATGCTCTTCTTCAGGTACGTTACACAACTCATTCAGACAGAGCAAAACTTTTCCTTGAGTTCATGAGCCGTAAGGCTTCATCTCAGACTCTGCAAGTACTGACGTGGCACAACCCCAAACCAGTTTCTTCAAGACGCTCATAGACCACGAGGTCACCGTCGAGCTCAAGAACGACATCCAAATCCGCGGCATTCTCAAGAGCGTTGACCAGTACCTCAACATCAAGCTGGAGGAGATTTCCGTCGTCGAGGAGCTCAAGTACCCGCACCTGGTCAGTCCCCCCGCCAGCTCATCTCACTGAGGCACTCCTCTCTTCACCACCGGTGTCTCTCTTCCATCACCTCCGCTGGAGGCGTCACGAAGCTCTTAGCTAATCAAAACACCTCGCCAGAGTTCCGTTAAGAATGTCTTTATCCGTGGCTCCGTCGTGCGCTACGTCCACCTCCCTGCTGGTTCCGTAGACGTGCCCCTCCTGGAGGACGCGACGCGGAGAGGCAAGTCCATATTGTCTTTATCACGTGTGCAAGAATGACGCTGACGATCTTAACAGAGGCTGCTGCCCAGGCCGCAAAGGCGAAATAGGCTACTGGCTTTTAGGGATGATGCAGTACTTAGTGAGATGTGGGAATCATGATATGGCCGGGGCACTACAAAAGCCGGTCCATGAAAGTTGGGAAAGGAAGGCCAGAGCCTAGCTACTAAATATGCTAGCTAAACAGGGTTCGTGGGGTGTGGCACACTGCGACTAGACATTGATGCGAGAAAAGGGTGGGAGAATTTGATATCCAGCCAGAAATCTACGACACATTTCTGTTCAGTGGACTTGCGCGGCATACCAAGTGTTGTTCATTGTTCGTTTCATGACTCATTATGTTTTCTATCATGTGGTGGGAAATCACCACCAAACGCCTCCTCCACAGCTGTCTTTGCCATCCCAAAGCGTAACTTCCTTGTCTTCACTCTCCTCGCCCTCGAGAGGGCGAAGGAGCCCACCCTTCCTCCTCTCAGCTAACCACTTGTCGATCCAGCCCTTCATTCTCTTCCTTGATACTTCACTTCCAACGTTAACTGTGGGAACAACCTTCTCTATGCGCAGTGACATTACGAACATTGCCAGCTCTCGGAAGCTGCTATGCTCACTGTATGGCACTCCGAAACACATGGCTTCCTTGGTGCTGCCGCGTTGTGCCACAAAGTCTTTCGCTCCGAACCGTGACCGCCATGCCTTGCTTTGGAGGATTTGTGTGGTTGGAATAGTCCCAGGTTGTGTACTAGCTGTTACCGCTTTGCTTACCCCTTGTGGTCGGTAGTTCCAGCCAGAGGGACGGAAACCAACGATGCGGCTGAAGTGCGGTTTGTAAGAGTTGAGATATTCTTGCAGGGTTTCCGCGCGGATCTCCATTAGCATTTGCATGTGGACTTGAGCCTCGTATGGGTTGTCTGTCATGAGTGCTGTCAACTCCGGATCTCCAAGCTTAGAGCAAATGCGAATCTTCGACTTGGAGGCAAAAATCTTGCTGCCCAAAGCCTGCGCGATGGCCTTGCAGATACGCTCTTTGCCGATTGAGTAGGTGCCGCAAATGACAAGAAGGCGCTCCTTGGGAGCGTTCTTTGGTTTGGGCTTCGGGGCTTCCCCATCCACACTCGTCTTGGTGAAGAATTTGCTGACGGTCTCCGTACCAGCTTCTCTGTTGATTTTGTCCCATGTGTTGTCCTCTGACGACTGATCTGGAGCTAAGGACTTGCACATATCTGCGCAAGCCTTGATGACATCGTTCTGGGGCGGAAACGAGTAGCGTGGGTTAAGATAAGTCGTGTCCAGGTAGCAAACGTCGATCTTTTGTTGTTTGGTCTTACCAGAAATCGAGTCTTGCACCTCGGGCTTCAAAAGAGGATGGCCAACCTGTGCTGGACAGGCTCTGAAGTCACCACAATGCAAAATTCTTTGCTTCCTTGCATTGGGTCCCTTACCCATGGTCTTCTCGAACAAGAACAGGGAGCTGCCAGGACAATGGTTTGCAGGGATCATGGTGACCGTCACACCCTCAGTGCCTGGTACATCCACCGTCTCGTCGAATTCAAGAGGCCGGACCCAGTGGGCTGCAACGCGCAGCTGCATCTTGACAAGGTCGCCTGTGACTTTGCTGCAGTAGATAGGGCCATGTGTCCAGTTGGCAGTCAAGCCAATGTAGTGATCACTGTGGAAGTGGCTCAAGAAGTATGCGTTGCACCCCTTGACCGCACCATACCTGAAGGCGTCCACGCAAATGTAGAACCCAGGCATAATCTTGTAGAATGGACAGGTTCGCTGATATGCGGGCTTGCCGCGTGCCGAATGCTCCGCGGCGGCAGCGCCGGCCCACGCTGCGTCTTCGGCATGGCCTGACATCAACTTGCTGAAAGCCGAAGTTGGTTTGTTTTCTACCTCGCTCAGGTCGAAGGGGTTCGCTTGGCCTTCTCGAGGAACGGCTGCACGGGCGAATCGTTTGTTAACTTCAGGAAGTTCGAGAATTGGCGGCCTAGCAATATCTTCTTTCTTGGGCTTTTTGTTTTCTTTGGGCTGAGGGAGCGGAATCGGGTTGCCATCGAGGCACGCATTAACATGTCGTGTTGCCTCGTCGGATGTGATGCCAGCAAGGCTGCCGTCGCATATTGGACAATTGGCTACCATGGTGTCGCTGGGTCGCATAGGATCGGCAAGGTCGTCGCAGGAGTAGTCTCCGGTATCACCGTCCTCAGCTTCAGCCTCCAACCGAGCTTGCTCCTCCATGTACTGCATCATGCGATACTCTTCGCCACCAAAGTCTTCGTCGTTGGGAAATTCGTCTAAGTCACCAAACTCGTCAACAATTGCAAACTCAGTGTCGATCGAGTCTTCAACCTTCAATGGCGTTGGCGGGCAGCTAGTCTCTTTGGCGGGGGATATTGCCTCCTCTCTCTCAGATGGAACCAGCGGCGTGAGGTTCCCCTCTTCCAGTTTGACGGGAGGCACTGAGCTCTCTTCCAGTTTAACGGGCGGGACAATGGGCGGTCGATTGCGGATAGCGCCTAAATATCCTGGCTTCTTTACCGGACCAGCATCCTCTTCGCTGTCGGAATCGTCGAGGAAGGGACCCTTGCGCTTCGTCGATTGCTTCTTCGCAGGTTTCGTCTCCAAGCTTGGCGATGATGGAGCCGGTTCGGGTTCTATGGGGCTTTCAGACTTCTTCGCTGCCGACGGCTCTCCTTCCTCCATCTCTTCCTCTTGGCTCAGCCTTCTCTTCTTGACCGAGGCCTCAACCTCGTTGAACCTCTCCTCCTCCTCCTCCCACGGTTCCGCGTCGTAGATCTCTGGCTCTTCGTCATTTCCGTTTTGGGGGACCACGAGCCTATCATGACCATCCAAAAAGAGAGTCGGTTCGGGCTTCTCGGTCTTCTGAAAAAAGCTCAGGATGCTAGCATTCGGCCTGGCGGGTTTTTTTGAAGGTGGGGGCTTGGTCAGAGGTTTCTTGGGTGTGCTCGTTCGCTTCCGTGCTGCCGACGACGATGGCCCCATTTTGTCATGTGCAGTCGCGGTGGCAATTAGATATAATTTGAGCAAAAACAGTTGTAGTCAAAGGAGACTAAGGGGTTAGTTGCATTTACGTGGTAGCTACGCACGCATCGCGCTGTCCAAGTTGGGGGCGAAGATGGGCAAGGGGTTTGAGGGTCAAAAAGTAATGACGTTCAGATTTGGACCCTTCAGGAACACGAAAAAGCGCGGGGACCCTTGCAAAGTCCGACCAACCTTCGTCGCGAGGTCGCGTGTGTAAGCACGTGACGCGGGAAGCTTAATTGCTTTTCGCGAGTCTTGGTGCAAATCGCGCTTAGCATACAGACACCATCGTCTAGAGCTGCCGCTGAAGGGCAGATGATAGTTGCCTCCCAGCTGGAAACCTTGCAAGTTTGATCGCTTCTTAGCATGGCAGATGCAACGGAACACAAAATCTGGGTTTCTCACAAAATTTGTTATCGCGATGATCTTGAAGCCCTCGACGTTGTTGCCGAGAAGTTGTTCACCGGCTAGAGCAGCATCATTCTTGACATCGTCTTTGTAATTCTCAGAAACACAGGAACAGAACATGCAACGAAGTGCCTTCTAGTAACAAATCATAGGAGTTTCCATGTTTCATGGTACTACTCATTGCCACTAGAGATTGAATAATCGAGCGATAAGTACGACCGTGACCCTGGACATGTTTGTTTTATTAAATGCGGTAATACAATTCACGACAACCACCAAGATACTTCAGTATTGATTTATCCTGTGCCTAGCCAGTCATTTATCGCCTTTTTTTTTTGGTGCGGCCTGTCAGAATTCCTAGTCTTCCAGTATAAGTGTCGCCATGGTGTTTGCTGATTCAGACCCGCCAGTAAAAAACCTCCACACTGTTCTGCAGTATGATCATATTGGAATTGTAATAGTCTGCCGTGGAGGATAAGACTTCGGTTCAGCTCGAAGAGAGGGCGAGTTAGAGCTTGACAAAAACGAAAAGTAGCTGGGCGGCCTCACATGCTGGTAGCCTAGGAAAGTCGTATTAGTAGTTTGCTCCATAAGATATCGCACAGAGGAACCTTCAAAGTATTACATCGGAAGAGGCATCCACATCCTCGACCATCAGTGTGACGCCGGAACTTCTCGATATAGGTGTAACGGTACTGGATTTGTGATAGGCCTGAGTGGGCTCTTACCTTATAGGAGGCTATCGACATACAACGACCGATTCCATGATCTGGCCCAGTCTCTGTGTCTCGTCATGAGATCTTTCATGTCTCCGGACTATTCGCTGTAACCATCGTTGTTTATACCCCTAGTCGTGTCGCACTGCCGTATCTCTTGCGTTGGCTTCCATTGACTCTCGTTGTTTGCAGGCAAGGCTAACCTTGAGGTCGGCGATAAGGCCAGAGCGCTCAACTAGTTTTCGTAGCGCAACGACGGCCGTGACGACGACAAAGGTCGTCAGCAGGACTCCAGTACTCTGTCCAAGGAGAGGCTCTTCTAGTTGATGAAAGCGCCAGAGCTGAATAATCTGTGGTTCGATAACCCAGATGAGGATGAGGTGTTGAACCATTCGCATCGTCGATCCGAACTCGGTCGCATAGCTGGGCAGACAGTATCGGTGACAGATGGGAATCCACTGGGCCTTTTTGAAGACGAAAGGTATTTCGTCGAATAGGACAGCCATAACGCGGAATCCGCGAGCAAGGCTGATCCAATCCTCGAGCTCACCGTCTTCGAGTGGTGCCGTAACAGCGAAAGCGATTAAAAACATAATGTGAATAGCCATGGCTAAGAGAGCGATGCCAAACCAGGAGCATATATCCTTGATGAACTGGAAGTCCTTGGCCTTCTGCTGGTCGGTCCGGTGAGCATAGTTCGCCTGAGTGTGCTGACTGACGGCACGACGTTGTCCGATCATTGTGGCCTGTTTTCGGCGAGTTGTGGATGTGGTTTTTTTTGGCGATCAGCGTAAATCAGAACAGGAAACTTGATGCCTCTGTCCTTGAAGAGTTGAAGTCTTCCAGAATGGGGTTTCTGAAGTAATACTGAGGGCAGTGATGGCAAGACCTGTGTGGTGGGTTGTAGAAGGAAAAGATATGACAACGATCTTCCACGTGCACCTTCAGTATTTTCCAAAAGGATGGGTGATGAAAAGGATCGGAAAGAAACTTGGCCAGAAGGCGAGGTAAACATAACACACGGTTGTCAAGGCTGCGTGTATACAACTCACATCGTCGTGCCCGTCTCAGCCTCGATCCTGTGGGAGACAATTTAGGGCGGGTGCTACTGGATCCTCAAGTAGGCAGCCCTATCGTTCCCTTGACTTGACTTGACGTGACGTGACGTGACGTGACGCGGCCATGTAGAGTACAAAGAGCCCCTTTTCAAGAAAGCAATTACTGGCAGATTCGAAATCGTCTGAAGGAACCCACAGATTGTTGTTGTATTTACTATCCATAATGGTGAGAGCTTTGACATGTGATGAAAACGAGATGAAAATTTCAGCCCATTTCCGTCGCGACGCCCTCTTGAGCCAACAAATTCGAAAGGAACATCATCATTGCCAACACCTAAACGAGGTGACTCTTTGGGATCAACTGTCTGGGAAGGCCTGCGACTCCATTCAGAACATAGTGCTTCAGCATTATTTCGGGTTGCTATCATTGCAAAAGTCTACACTGGTTGTATTGTATATTAAGCAGCACGAGAACTGTTGACCGGTAACAACTGTGAGCTCCATGTCGTTTTTGGCATGTATTCGACGTCCAGTTAGTCATTTTGAAATCGGGAGAAGGGTTGGTACACACAAGACAACAAGCGTTGATAATTTGAACCAGGGCTAAGCTTCCTCTACAATAACTTTTGTCTGTAGTTGACAATATGCTGGATTCAATAAAGGAATAATTTTGGAAGACGATGTCTAAAGAGACTGTTGTTATTTATATGATCGCCTTTTCATTTTTTGTAGTACGTTCACGCAAAAGCTCTGGGCATAGCTTGATCATGCTCGCAATCTGTGGCTAAAACCTAGTCCTCGAGCCAGGATCTAACAACCATGACAACGACGGCCAAGACCAGGTAGACCAGGTAGACCAGGCCGCCGGGCCACTGTCAGCTCGGACCGGGCACAACCTCATCCACCTCCTCTTCGTCGCTTCCACTCATACTAAAGCTGTCTCCTCCGTCGTCTATCTCCGTAGTCTCCATCTGAGCCAACACACGCGCCCTCTCCTCGACAACCAATGTCACCCACCGTAACTCAGCCACCTGCCTCCTCCCAAGCTCCCTCCGCTCGTTGTCTATGCGTTCCTCATGCCGCATCTTTACGCTGTACATGACCTCCTCGCGGATTGTCTGCTCCTCCTCTACCTTCATCTTATACCTCGCCACCTCCTCGTTCCTCCACCTCCCCCACGCCCGCCACCCCTTATCCATCTTCTTCCGGAACTCCTGCATGAGCTCCTCAACACGCGCTTCGCCCGTCGGCTTGTCGGCGAAGAAGCCTTCTAGCAGTTGTAGGTAGGCGTCCTCCGTCTTCTTCTCCTCCAGCACACGTAAGCTGTACTCGGTTGCGAGGGCTTGTTCCTTTGCGGCCAGCTTCTGCGAGGCCGTTCCGGTCAGCTCAAGATGCTCTTTTTGCTGCTTTGCCTCGAGCTCGGCTGTGGAGGTCACCGCCTCGTGTGACGCGAGCTCCTTTTCTTTATCGTGCTGGTATCGTACGAGGACTTCTTGCAGGTCATGGACCTGGTCAAGCAACGCCCGGTATTCCTGGTACTTTACCTCGATCTCGTGACGTCGGAGGCTCTCTAGACGTACGCGTTCTTCCAACTCGCGCTGTCTGCGCTCCTCTTCCTGCCTCTCTGTCTCCTGCCTCAACAGCTCGGCCTTCAGCGCTTCTTCACGCTCAAACTCCTCGATTTGTCGTAGAGCGTCTTGAAGCTCGGACTCAGCCTCCGCCTCTCTCCGCAGTCTCTCCTGCCGCCTTGTTGCGGCCCCGGCCTTGACGGCGTTCAGCTGGTCCATCGTGCAAGTACATGTTCTCCACCTCTGGTTGCAGACGTAGCAGAACTGATACCCGCACCGACAAGTCATGTGCTGGCACGCCTCCCGGTGCTCGACCAGCGCCTGGCACTGTGAGCAGTGCTGCCAGCCCTCCTCCTCGGCGAGAGCGTTGGTCAGTGCCAGGTCGCGGTCCTGCGGGCAGTCGGAGTTGTCGTGCTGCGGGCCGCGGCAGATGGTGCAGGTCCAGTGTGCGTTTGCGCAGCGCGCTATGCCGAGACCCAGGTTCACGTGGTCAGGCCTGACCCAGAGGCCACAGTCGGACTGGTTGCAGTAGATGCGCTCACCGACGGGGATCTTCCACTCAGCGGCACGGTCTTTATACGTTTTACCTAGGTCCTTGGAGACGTAACGCAGAATCGTGCGGAAAGGGATATCGTTGAGACAACACTTTGGCGGCCATTGCTGCTCATTCTGAACGGCTGTCGCGATGAGTCGCTCGAAGCAATCGCGGCAGTAGCTGTGGCAGATGACTTTGACCATTTCCTTGGGATTGAAGTCGTCGAGGCATGATACGCACTCGCTAGAACTCTCTGTTAGTCTTAGGACATCGTCGAACGTAGGGAACTTACACAGTAGCTGTCTTCCTGAGTTTGCTACTCGTGGAGTTCTCGTCAGATGACCCTCCTATGCTCGTCTTGCTCGGATTACCGCCGAACCTGAAAGGTTTCCTTGTTGCTTCCTTTTCGCCAATCCTTTGTAAAATTCTGGTCAAGGCAAACCGGCTTTTCTTCTTGGGCTGGAATGGGAGTACAATCAGTCCCGTAGCCGACCGGCCGTCGCTGCTTCCCATTAGCTCCGGAAACAGCTTAGTATTCTGTTGGTTTCCGCTTGAGTGACTCTCTGGAGGCTCAGGATCGTCAGGTGTTATGATGATGGGCAGATATGGCTCGCTTCTCCTGCTGCTGGCTTCTTGAGCCATGTTTGCTTCTGCTTCTCGCCGTCTCGCTTCTTCTTCCAGCTGGCGCACTTGATTTTCTTCCGCAACTCTTGCTTGGATGTTCTCGATAGAGGTCTGCAAGACCTCAAGGAGCACATCATTGGTGATATTAGGCGCCGTTTTTAGGGCCGCCGGCGGGTTGTATCTTGACCAGTCGACCTCATCGTCCGCCTTGACTGTGGCCGTTTCAGGCTCGAGTTCATTGGAAGGAGTGTCCTCTTTGCGTTCCTTATTGATTTCTAGGAGCTTGACCCTGTCCTCGAAGTCGTGCAGGGTTACAAAAGGGTCACCGTAGAACCCCACGTAGTCCTCTAGACGAGAGGGCACAGACGATGCCGCTTCCATCCCGACGAAAGTTGTAGTAGCGTTAGACATATGTAGAAAAGAATGAATCACGCAGATTGCGACGTATAAGGAGACGAGGGAAGTGAGACTGGCCACGCGACCGGGCTATTAAGACGAAGCCATGTACCCAAAGGCCTTACAACAAGTCGGAGAGAGCAAAATATAGACTTTCCCACCGAGCCAGACACTCGGAACTTCCTGCATGGAACGAGCGGGTCTTGGAAAAAGAAGCCCAGGAGAGATGGCGGCTCTTCCGAGCCTCATGACATTTGACAAGGCAGTCTCACCTCAACCCAGGGCTGAATCCGCCCTGGCTAGCCTATCGAGGGGCATGTAGACAACATGACGAGAGCCCGAAACGGCGTTAGTGCATGTTTGGTGCGTCGAACAAGTGAACCACCGGTTTGAGCCAATAGTCGAGGCAGACTGCACCACGCACGAGGCACCAGCTAAGTCTTGGTTGGTGGTGCGGATGTCTTGTTAGAGGTTGGAAACAGCAAGTTGATTGTTTGGGGGGGCGGAGTTTGGGCGTGTCGGCTATTTAGCGCGTGGGCTGTGCAGGCCTACCAACTGCTGCAGTTGGTCACCGAAGGAATCGTTAGGCGGATGTCGCACAACCTTAGCCGCAGCTGGGCATTCCAAAAGAGCCTGTTGGACCTGTTTACTGACATGATCGGCTCCCATTTGTTGACGCTTCTCTGATGCTAATGCGTACAGCCTCTGCCGCGCCGTACACTACGGCTGCTGCTTACATGGTTGACTCCCGCAACCGACTTATGAGAGCGCGGTGTCAAGACAACATCGACGGCTTGGGTAGAAAAACACCGGCTCAGATACTCCATTTCTGGTCGTATCTTTCCACATTGACTGCGTATACGTTTTCATTGAGGAAATGTGGGATGCAAGTACTCTGCCGTCTCACAAGACTCAACTTTGTCGGTGGCGAAGGGTGTCTGCCTGCACTAATCGAGAAGAAGACCCCTTTCCTATATCTCTCTTACAAGGGAGGCATCGAGAGCTTGATGGTACTGTGGTCAATCTTGGCAAAAGAGCGACCTTTCAAGTTGTCAACAGAGATGCTGCCTTGGTGTAACTAACTCGCTGATATGTATAGACACTGTTCTACTCCACCGGAGCCACAAGCAGCAAAAGTGCGGCATTTTCATGTCGCTCGCTCATTGTCGTACATATTCGTCTTGGTCCCCACCAATCGCAACAACCTCGGCATCCGGTCGTGTAAACACGCAACCATAGTGTAGGGGTTATCATCCCAGCCTTCCATTCAATGAGATAGCTGGGGACTCGGGTTCGAGTCCCGATGGTTGCAACATCATTAATCTTTTGGCAACTTTTTGCCCTTCAGTTTGTGGTGCTTACATGTTGGGTCGGGTCCCGGGCCATTTTCAGTGAATTCCTAGATGTTAATGGGTTTTATTGTTGGAAACATGGACACATGGCAGAAATACCAGCTTAGTTTTAGGAAAGTTCCACTTCCATGGACTGACTATGCTTGGCTGAGCTGGGAGGATATTTGCAAGCTGTGCATGTGCTTATGTCGGCCAGATTCGCGACCAGTCCAACAACGCTCCCGCTTACGAGACAGCATGCCTGGATCTGTGCGGGACGAATCGAGAGCCAAAGTTGTTCCCCTTTTGTGCTTTGTGCTTTGTGCTATGTGTGAGTGCTTGGCTTGATGTGCGGCCGGCCGGCCCAAGGCTCATCGGCCACCCACCCATTAACCAGTCCATTGGTACAATTGCTTATCGTGCTTCTTCCGAGTAGGGGTAGGGGGTGAACCAGAAACTCGGGCTTAGGTGGCTTAGGTGGAGATATATGCGGTGCAAATGCAGCCTGAATGCGCGCTGTGGCTGAATTACAGTTGGGCTAAGTAAGTTTATACTTGGCACGACCTCTGGGAGAAGTAGCCGACGAGGGCCAAAGGCAAATGAAACCCATAATTCTACCGCGGAACCGATTTGTACAGCACCCAGGTTCTGGGTTACCGTTAAGTGCGGCACGAAATCAGCCTGGTTTTGCAACTCCAGTGGCTCCTTAGTATTCACCTGACCGCTGTTGACCAAGGAAACATAAAAAGAGTCACAGCGTGTCAAGGTAACAACCCCAACCGAAATCTGGTTGCCCCTCAGATCTTTGACTTCAACTTGCCAAACTCCACCTTGTTGGTGCAAGAGCCTACATTTTCAAGACCAACCTCGACAACGTCCCCGTCCTTCAGCCACAACTGGGGTTTGCGGCCCATGCCGACGCCCTCAGGGCTACGCTTTCCGTCAGTAAGTGGCATCAACGGATCATCATCACTGCTGTACTTACGTTCCTGTGAAAATGACATCTCCTGGCAGCAGGGTAGTGCCCTGGCTCAGGAAAGAGATTGTCTTCTTGATACCGAAGATCATGTCTTTGGTGTTGTTGTTCTGCCAACCATCAGCGCTTATCTCATAGCCTGTGTTTGCGGCGCGTCGCCCACCTGAACAGTCTCTCCATTGACTTTAGTAAAAATCTTGAGGTTCTGCGGATCCTTGACGACCTTGTTGGTCACGATGCCAGGGCCAAACGGCGCCCAGCCGTCAAATCCCTTACCGAGCGACCATTGGCCTCCGCCACGCTGGATCTGCCACTCGCGGTGCGACACATCGTTGCCGACAGCGTAGCCGAGGACATAATCGAGGGCCTCATCCTCGGACACGTCGGCGGCGGTCTTGCCGATGACGATGACCAGTTCGCACTCGTAGTCCAAGGTGCTACCTGTCTGTGCGATCGGGTGCACGGGGATTGGGTCGGTCGGTCCGGCAAGGGAGGTCACCGGTTTGTACTGGCTGGGTCAGTCTGCTGCAGCGCGTCACCAGGGTCGTTGAGGACTTACGAAGAGGACGGGAAACTTGGGGATGGCCATGTTCGACTGTAAGTGGTTAGCTATCAACCTGACGAGACGAGTCTAAGAAGGAAGAAGGCTGACCTCCTTTGCGTGGTTCGCATAATTAAGACCTAGGCATCGCACAGTCTTGACATGCTCGGGAGCTAGAGGGGACAACAGCAGCCGGATGTCGGCGACGTTTTCTGTGACATCGTGTCTTCCAAAAATGTCGCCCGTCACAATGCGAGCTTGTCTCGCCTTTGCGATGTCAGTGACACCGCTGGGAAGGATGGCATCGCCGTAGTATGTCTTGCCGTCTCGGGCGAGGAAGCGGACGAGTCTCTAGCAGCACGACCGTCAGTAAGATGCGGTAGGCATCAAGAAGCAAGATCAACTCACTGAGAACGAAGCCATCTTCACGGTTGACACTAAGAGAAGTCGAAAGTGAATGCGAGATACAAATAACTTGAGGAGCACAATAATCTACAATTGATGTGAAGCAGTTGAGGACGTTGGAATGAGATGAATATCGGGAAGCATGCCGAAGACGCTGTGTCAACCCCACACTTCCTCCCAGACGGCGTGGTCTGTCTAGGTGCTAAGCTCGGCCATTGTCGGCGGCAGATGTGCCGCGTGGGAGCATTGCGCATCACTAAAATCCATCGGCAGCAGCTCGCGGCTAATGTATCGGCATTGCCTCAGCACCCCTAGGTAGGTACACTCCGTTTTGGGACAGCTACCCACAAGCTCCAGGAGCTGTGGTCGCTGAGTCATCCGCTTGGCCGAGAATATGCTCCACTTTTCCTCGACCTGAGAGACGGAGCTCTTTCCTGAGACTGACATCAACGACTTGAGCTTTCTCGGATACGATTTTCTGATGAACCCCCAAAGGACCCCGCCTTCCGCAGTATCCACGCCGAGTTGACATTGAAAATGGCTGTAGCAAGACGCGGACTTTCCGGTCTCCAACGGGAGGTTTTGTCTCTCTACAGACAATGCATTCGGGAAATTCGTAAGAAGCCAGAGGTGAGATTTCTCAGCCCATGTCGCAACCTACATGCGGGAGCTAATATCGATGCAGACTGCGCAACCGCACTTTCGAACATTTGCCAGGCAAGCTTGTGCAGAGTTACGGCTTTTGCGCAGGAAATCATACTGACCAAGATGTAGGACCGAGTTTGACAGGTACATCACCGTCGACAAGCGTGACTTTTCCGTTGTAGAGCACTTGCTCCGGAAGGGTCGGCGCCAGCTCGAGACGTACTCTTCACCCAGCATCAAGGATGTCAGCCGTTGAGGAAAGGGCGCTTTGGTTGCCACAACACTGGCCCCCTTCACGTCCTTCTGGGAAACCGCGGCTTCTTCGGAATGGATACCGGCCCGGTCATCGAAGCCCAGACCAGGGGATAGCGTCGATGCTTTCCCTCTGTATCACCACATGTCTCTCCTATGCCGCGTTCTGTTACCTAGACCACATGATACCATCACAAATTCTTCTTTGGACCCAACTTTGATATCTCTCAGTTCACCGAGCATGGACAATGCTTGATTGCGACAGAGTCTTCCGAGACTATAATTGTATTTCAACCTGTTCACCGCCCGTATCTAATCCCGCACCGCACCTTGCCCATAAAGCAGCGGAGGACGTATTCCGCAACCCAATAAGCCAGTCTGTGGAGAGCCTCCGTCGCCAGCAACGGAAAGTCGCCTACACGAAGCGAGTCAGCAAAGTCAGACTTCCTTCGGGCAAGGTGTCCCGTTCCCGAACAACAGCCTTGTCTGCTAGGAGAGCGAACCGACCCCTTTCAGCCTCCACCGGTATCTCCATCGCCCAGGAACGAGAGATACAGAGACTTCGCAGACTCGTGGCATCGGATGCTCTTCAGCCCTTAAAACCATATCCTCAACGGCCCAACAAGCAGTCAATCCAAAAAACGCCCCCTGCCTGGTACGTTGCAATGAAAGATCCTACAAAGGCTGGTCCCAGTTCACCGAAAGCACAGGGTATCTCGGCTCATCATCAGCCTGACTTTGCTGGGCCCGGTCGTCCATCAAGGACTCGGAACCCTCACGCAAAGCCCGTTGTTGATCCTTCAGGGTCTCCGGTTCGGTCGAAGCCCACTCGTCCTCAGTCCCACCGCCAGACTCCCACTTCTGGCCCGTTCGAACATCGAGAATTCCCCATCATAACCATGTCGGATCCCGCTCACCCTTTTCACCGCGGCGAATCGGTGGCCTCCCATGAGAAAAGATTCGGCGTTGCTGATCCACAGCTGTAGGAGGCTGTTCGCCGGAGTCTCTCGCAGCAGAGCCAAGTGTCTCTTCTTGCATCACCGTCCAAAAGAGTGTCAAACCGATCTTTGGAAGCACCTCAGCCGCCTTCGCGGACTTCAAGTCGCCGGCGAGAAGTGAACCGCTTCGCCAGACAACTGGAAGTTTATGCCGAGCGTAGAGCGGCTGCCGGAAACCTACCTGTCTCTACCCCGACGCCAGAGTCTGTGGTGTCGCTTCATACTGTGACGGCGCTTCTTCCGTATGAGGACCAGTTCCAGGCTGCTGGTCTGGCGGTAACATCTGTACAGCAGCGGCAACGGTCGCCACCAAAGACGTTTCCGGTAAAAGAGCCCAAATCGGCTGCCGCATCAGACGATAAGGTTATAATGTCGACGAAAAGTCACACCAAGGAGCCGCAACGCAAAGACGAACCAGGCGACCTCCAGCTTAATGGCTTGAGGAGCCCTTCGACGAGCTCCACCGATTCCTCGAGTTCCGGGACACACATTGCTTTCATTCAACCGGAAGCTTGGGAGCTTGCCTTGATCGATGAAGTGCCGGCAAGAAAGGACAGATCCAATTGCTGCAATCTTCCTTGCTTTCCGAACACAAGAGACCAATCAGCTGACGAGCCTGCGAGCCGACCGCCTCACGTTCTAACGCCCACAGCTATCGACACGCCAAACAAGATCCTGGCAAAGTGGCAGCCAGTATATCCCCAGGCGACGGAAGGTCTGAAGGGATGGCGTAAGTTCGAATCTTTGCTGGGGCATCTGCTTACTGACAACTGCGAAGGCGAACAAGATTCCCGAGACGCTCGGGTCAAAACATGGCATGGAAACCCTATGCAGCGTCCATCGACCTATCGAAAACTTCGTGAGGCTTTCCCCCCTCTCGACGACATAGAACCACCGAGTCCACGAAGTAAGCACCTGAAGAAATCAACTCACAATCCCAAGCAAGAAACACCACCGATACCACCTAGGGCTGAAGCCCGTCTCAGAACGTCGCGAAAGCCCACTGTGCCGCCGACTGAGTCTTCAGCGCCCAAAGGACTTCGAAAGCAGTCCCAGCTAGATGTAATCACAGATCGTGAGGACGTTGCAACTGAAGGGGAGTCTTTAGATATCGTGAACAGAAAGACAGCCAAAGCGGTTGCCGTGTTCGCTTCAGACGAGAACACACCTCCGAGGCAACTCAACAAAGGTCACATACAACCAGAACCAAAGGTGTCTCAGGAAGTTGTAAAGAAACCCATGAGGGTATCTATTCATCAGCCCGAGCGAAAGGCCAAGAAAAAGGCTCTTCAACCAAGAACACAAGTAGGGTTCGAGCACCCGCCTATCTTTCAATCTGGAAGAATGTTTCGAAGCCTGCCAGGGCCTCCAAAAATCCCAGAGACAGAAAGTAAAGAACGATCTGCGATGACGAGCCCTGAGACAGCCGTATCAAACGCCGATCTCCCGTCTACATGGAAACTGACCTTGAGTACCTCTTCGTCTCTTAAGGTTGCGATGGAGGCTGCATCTCAGGAGATGGAAAGAAAAGAATCTAAGCTGCCCGAGAGCGGGACGATCGTAAAGCAAGGCTTGACAGAACAATACCAGCCTACTGCTGCTCGAGAAGAAAAGCATGACGAACCGCCCCCATCTTGCAGCAACGAAGAAAATGTCCTGCCGCCTAAGGAACAACCTGTACAGACCCGCGAGACATTCAGAGATGATGATGGCTCTGTTGCTAAGGAACAGGATGATAGAAACATCGATGACAGAGATGTATTGCGAGGTCTGAACATAGCAATATCAGCGGCCTGTGACGAAGAGGTAGACGCTTGGATCCGACAGAAGACAGGCGTTCGTATTCGTCGATTCTTGGCGGACCTGAGGGCCTTTGAGACTCTTGGTGATGAGGATGAGCCAGACCCAGTCAAAGAACGTGCGAGGAAAAGACGGGCTGACTCGAGGAAACTAAAGGCACAGATCCGGCAGTCCAAAGCTGTCAGGGAGGCAAGAGCCCAGTGACTGTGGCCCGACCCAAATGTTTATAGACGGAAAAGCGCAGAGTTGGCTTTTTTCAAATAGTGGTAGATGCGGTGCCGTTGACATGGGCACTTGAATCCTATTAACCCCAGTTTGCTACCCCAAACGATGTTGCGTGCTCCGTCGAACATTGTCGAAGATGACACAGCCCCACTTTGATGTATGATGTGGAATACCAGAGTCTTTCCGCACCACTTTGGGCCACAGACGTGTTTACACGGCAGAGGTATAGTTAGTGCGTGGTCACAGCATATGGAGAGCAGGACAGCATTGAGACATATCATGTCTATATTGTAGATCATATCATTAAACAAAGTGTGTATCGCATGACTCTATGCATTAAAACTGGGTGATAGGGTATCTGCATGCTCATATGCGCTCATATATCAGGCTCTAGACGTAAAGGTCGTTTGCAATGGAAACACCCTTTTGGAAATTCGCTTGGTGTATGCCTCAACCGCGCTTGTGCTCAATCTCCTCGGCCTCGTGGCCGATCTTGACCTCCTGCTCGACCTGGGCGAGGTCGAGGTCGGCGACCTCGGCGTCGGGGCCGTCGATGACCTTGACGAGCTCCTCGAGGGTGGGGCCCTTTGTCTCGACGTAAAAGAAGTAGACGAAGGTGAGCTCGAGGAAGATCCAGCACTGTGGTTGACGTTAGTCGGAAGTTGGTCAAACGGAGATGGTTTCCTGGTAGGGGCAACTTACAGTGTAGATGAGGTAGAGCTTCCAGGTGTGGCCGGTAAAGTAGTCGAACGCATATGGGTTGGCGTAATTGTTGAGCGTCAGAGCAGCCTGGACGGTCAGGTTGACAATCATGAGACCCTTGGCACGCAGCTTGTAGGGCAGAATCTCGATGGAGTAGCTGATGAGCAGGCCGGACCAGGCGAAGGAGTAGAAGAAACCGAACAGCCAGATGAAGAAGATCATGGCGTAGTTGGAGCCGGGGGAGCCGTGCTCCTCGTACAGGCCGGCGGAGAGGGTCCAGAAGACAAAGGTCATGAGCATGCCGCCCGTGGAGGCGAGGAAGATGGGGCGGCGGCCGAAGCGGTCGACCTGCATGGCCAGGGTCAGGGAGACGATCAGGGCGAGACCGGTCTGGCCGGCGGAGAGCTGTGATGGTGGGTTAGCCTGTGATTCCGGCATCAATTCGGGTCAGAAAACCTACGCCGAGTCTGGCCGTGGAGCTGGAAATGCCGGCGTTGCTGTACAAGATGTTGGTGTAGTTGGAGATGATGGCGTTGCCAGACCACTGGGAGAAGAGACCGAGCGAGATAAGGATAATGAAGCGGTACTTGTTGCCCGGGGTACGGAAGAAGTCGAGGTAGCTGGTGGTGTTCTTGGCAGCGATCTCACGCTTGATGGTCTCGCGGATCTCGCGGAACTCGAACTGGACCGTGGGGTGGTTGATGTTGCCGTTGGCGTGGTACTTGCCCAGGATCTGGAGGGCCTCTTCATGGCGGTCCTTGGCGATGAGGTAACGGGGGGACTCGGGAACCCCTAGGTGACAGTTAGCAGCCGAACGAGGGGCTATGTATGGTGGTGAGGAGGCCACGCGACTTACAGAAGATGAAGAGAAGCTGGATGACTGAGGGCACGGCCTGGCCAATAGCGGGAATGCGCCACGACCACTCGTTGTACAGGAAGTCGGTTCCGAAAGATAGCCAGGCGACGACAAGAGCACCGACGTTCCAGAGACAGTTGTAGACCTATTGCAACCAGGAATGTCAGCATCTCCTGCACTTCGTTGTAGCTTACTCATCCGTAAAGACGTCTCGTGATAGCTTCATCGAGGATGGGCCTGGTGTGGGAGGAGCCAGGCGGACAGGCGGGGCCGCATAAGATACGTACCGTCGTCAGGCGAGCGCGATGCTGCGGGTGGCACAGCTCAGCGAGCAACATCGGGGAGGCAATCTGGGCAAAGGAGTTGCCGAATCCAAGGAGGGCACGGCCACCCATAAACACTGCACTGGGTCAGTCTCCTGAGAAGGGCAACCAAATGTCCGAAAAACGTACTGCCCAAGTTCTGGCAAGCGCCCTGAAGGACAGCGCCGGCAATCATGATCACGCAGCCGATGACGATGGGAATCTTTCGGCCAAAGTGGTCTGCCACCCAGGGACTATGCGTACAGTCAGTACACAGGCCCATACCGAGGGGGGGGGAGCTCTGTCGCATGTCGCTTACACTATGGGGATGGAAAGCAAACTACCGATCTGGTAGAAGGCGCTGAGAAGACCGAGCTGACCTCCCTTGGGGTGGTCAAAGAACTCCTGCCATGAGTTGAAGTTCTGGACAGAGTTGAAGAACATTCTGTTGACGATCGGCGTTAGCATCCCATCAACTTCACAATGCTGGTGTCAGTGACATACCCATCGTAACCGGTGGTTGCCGAGGCGATGCAGAGAGCGAATGCGTAGAAGTAGAGCTTTCGCAGACCGGGGTCTCTCATCCAGTCGACCCTCTCAAAGTCGGGAGCTTCTTGCTGAGCTTGGATGACGGCCTCGCTCTTGGGCTTCTTCTGCGAGAGGCCCTTCAAGAAACCCATCTTGGCGACGGCTCGACGGCGTTGAAGATCGTGTGTGCTGTATAAGATTGGTGGTTCGCGTCTGCCGGCGAGGAACGCAAGAGCCAAAGCAGTTTCCTTTTGTTGGGCCAGAGGATGACTGGAGAAGGACAGGACAAGGACATGAACCGATATACGACGCGGGGTCTCCGGGTCTTAATATATGGAGCCCCGGATCACAAGAGAAACGCGACAAGCGAGACGGGACTCTAGAAAGATACAGTGCGAGCTTCCAGACGGGGTGTTGGACCGGGAGGGTATGGATCTCAAGATGGTCTCACTCCAAGGGGCATCAGGCAGGAACCACTTGGTCGGGATCCTTTGCGTGAGGTCCCAGTCGGAGGCCAACCGGCTCCAATCAGCGTCATGTCAAATCATGAGGACCTCGGGCAGCACGAGCAGCCTGCAGCCAAGATACTAGAGCATGGGGGTGAGATGGTGTGCGCGGCAAGGGATTGCCATTTTCGTCCGGCAAAAGTCGAATGAGTGGACGTTTCAAGGCAAAGCTTCATCGCCAAGTGCTCTAACAAGCCTTGGTCAAGACTGAGGCTCACGGTGCTAAGCTCTTCTCCAAGAAATTGGTGCCGTCCAGACGGGTGAATACGAATCGACGCCCATCTTTCCAAACTCTGATGATTGTATTTTGCCGGGAGCCTGGTGTGGACACTGGGTCCCACTAGTCAAGGTCAACCTTGGAAGTTTGGAGGGGACAAGGTGTGAGCGTTCCACTCCTGGACGTACGATGTACCTACGTTCCCCCTGGGGTCCCGTGGAGAAGAGAGGGTGACGAAGCGGGGATCGTAGGGAAGTGGAGACTGGGACGGTCTCGCCCGTTGGCCTGTTCTGCTGCCCTCAAGATGACTGGTCCTTGAGCCAACCACGCGACGGTTCTTTGACCAGATTTTCCTCTTCTTTTTCAGGTGAGGGACGCTTACGAGCCTTTCGGCAACTATGCCGCCAGTGCCAATGGCAGGAGTAACGGACGAAAGGCTTCGAGAACAGCTTGTGCCGGCTCTTTACCCCAGAGATATCCCAGCGAACCGTGGACAGGTATAATAGGAACCGCAAAATTAGACGAGTTTGGGGTTGACTAGCTGACCGCTGCGGGGAAAACAGGGCCGAGGTGGAGAACTGGACAATAATTCAACCGTGAAATTGGGGCTCTGGACAGAAACGTGGGCTGAGACGGTGGGCGACTCGAAAACAAAGCCAGTGTAATATCTCTGTGACCCGTGCCAATCGTTGTTATTGATTCTCTGGGTGGGTTCTTCTTTTGTGCATCCTTCAATGTTTCTTTTCGTTGCCCTTTCTTTCCTCTGGGCTGTCACGACGGACTGTCGCCGAGTGACTTCGCTGAAGAATCAGGCAACAACCGCATCTCGCATCTGTGCTGAGCAAGCCTGTGCTCCATAATAACAGGTGTGTTTGGCTGGCCGCGTGAGGAAAGCACCCTCGCTGATGCATGGAGAGCTGCAATCCTGGAATACACTACTTAAGCGCTCCTTTCCAGGCATTACAGTACTTAGCGTCGAACTTGACAGGCGGTAGGCCAGGCCGAAAGTGCAGATATCTCCGTCTCGTTGATGTGACTGTGTTGAAGATGGGCCCCTGTTCAGAGAAAGTTCCCTCGGTAAAGCGTTCCCCCCGTAACCTTGTCGTACCTCTTGGTACGCGAAAAGAGGGCGTGCAAGGGCCGAAGAAGACTTCGGCTTTTGCGTTTTCAGGCCCGTGCTTCGAGTGACAGTGGTTGCGCAAAAGAGCCATATCCTGATAAAGCAGCATGTTCTGGCGGCTCAGCGTGTCCTGCGAGAGGAGCGGTCGTCTCGATGGGATGAGTTAAGCAGCAACAGGGTGACGACTGAAGCGGCAGGCTAGGTATCTCGTAACCTTGTCGGCCGAGTACCTACCGCTTCTTGCTGGCTGGCTCAGTAATAGCTGATCCACAATCCCGCAATCCCCCATGTTCAGAGCCCGGTGGGGATGTCGTGTGGATTCGTGGATGGATGTGTGGAGGGCTACCACAAGACACAATACGCCCGCGAACACCTAGACGTTGTCAGTGCATCCATGGAGAGGCGGATCAGCCCGACCTTGCATACCAACCTGTCCTGCAACTTGTGCCAAACAGTAGTCAACGTCGCCAAGCTCAAGCAAAACACAATCAGGTCCGACGGATTTCCTCCCTTCTTGCCAGGCTTCTCGTGGAGGAGGATTCCACGTGGTTCCTGACGTGGGGGGAAGTGGTGTTGGTGGGGATTCGAGCGACAGGCAGGCCACGGCCGTGAACAACCGTACGACACTCGAGCACCTGCTCACTTGTCACTTGTTGGTCTCCATCGTTGAACCTAGCAGCTCGACGGCACATGCTCCCCAACAATCGGCGTGGGGTATGCATTCGCAGTACTCCATCACGACGGTGAGAGTCGCACCGTGTTGAAGTCGATAGTCGGAGTGACTCGGCAGGATGGAGGTTCCTAGCGTTAAGTTGGAGGCATGGATGCGCCGCTTTCTCACATGGGGGTGTCTCCAGGACCCCACGACTTAGGTCGACCGGCGCCACCCATGACACTAGAGCATTTTGCCATTTAGCCTAATCTAGGCTAAATGCTACCCGGCAGTGTTTGCTGAAATGGCTTTCAGTCGGAGATCGCGCTATTTTCATGCCAGATTTTGTATTGCGGCGTGACCTGTGGACGTTGGAACCAACACGAGCGGAATTGCGACACGAATGCTCACTGCTAGCTGTGTTCCAGTCGTACAAAATCTCACTTCTTTGGAGAGGTGGCCATGGGTTTCGAGCCTCCTCTTGTCCGTGGTATCGACCGGGCCGATTGCATCAACGGAGAGGCACGATTGCCACTCCCGGCATATCATTAGACGGATGTGTGATCCGGACTGCGTAGGTACAACTGTAGATGATTGCGGTGCCATATCGTCTATTACTTTTGGTCAAGGACACGCGAACATCCTCGCGAGACGGCACCCGTATCCGAGTACCTCGGAGTAAATGCGAAGGAGATTGGCATATTTCTATCAAATGTCCATTTCCGTGAAACATGCACATGTCGAGATGTAGTTGACTTGCGGCTGCTTCCCCTGAACAGGGGTGATTTATCCATATTGCCGGCATGTCGCCGCTAGAAGATTCCCTTATTGCGAGTTGCTGATTGATGGCAGCTGATCGACCCGTGATCTTGGGACCAATTGCCTGTGTTGGTTACAGTGGTGGTTGCGATGTTGCGATCCTCAGCAGCGGACGCTCTTAGACATTGTCGCTGTCGTAGTCTTGGGGAGGGGGCCGTGAGTGCCTGCATGGTATGGTTTGGACGGCCGCCTTGTCCCGTTGCCCGGCGCAGGTTTTGGCGATGCCGAGAACGATGATCGTAGCTTAACGAGAGGGTCTATCCGCCGTCACATCACGCCTGCAAGGTTCTTCAGAAGACCAATATGCACCCGGCTGCCACGAGCGGGCCTTCTCCGTGTTCTCAAGTCTACAAAATGATGTTAAGGAAGTCTTCTTGAGGAATTAGTATGTCTGATGATGGATCGATGGAAACAGATTTGGTGGTTTGGAGTTCGGGCTGTCGTCCACGCACAGACCATCAAAATCCACCAGCTCCTTTCCCCGCACAGCCCCATCACCGTCCGGAGCCTGCTGTCCCATTAGCATCCTCACGAGCTTCACTTTTCGCCGGCTGTGTCCCACTGGATCGGTGTTCCCTGACAATAGTTCTGTGCCTGTGTATCGGAAACCGGCAGAAATGCGCGCCCGCACAGCGATGGAATCGCCCGGCCCAGAGGAGATTCGACAGCTGAGGCAGAACTTCACGACCAGAGAATCAGACGATGAGCACCTGTTTCGATGCTGGAAACACCAGGACTGCAAAGTGTGCTTGGCGGAGTACCAGTGTAGCTGGTGTCCAATGGTTGGTTTGCGGCATCCAGATCCCAGACGAAGCGATCGCTGACTCTTTGTGATCGACAGACATCCGCATGTGTACCAAACCCGTACGCGATCCCATTGCTGGCACCCGCCTATAACGAGGACATCTGCCCACACTGGGCGGAACGCTGGGAACTCCGCACCAAGCCGTTAGGCTGCCAGGTCTCAACTATCACGAGTCTGACGTCAATCATTTCCATCATATCCACGCTGGTCGTTGTATTGTTGGTCACCCTGCTCGTGCTCGGGATCCGCTGGGGCAGACGCCGGAGCAAGCAGAATCCAGACTGGTGGAGAATTTGGAGATACGATTGGAGACATGCGTTCGTCAAGAAGAGGGGACTAGATACCCAGGATGGGGAAAGAGATCCGTTGCTGGGACGTAATCACGATGGACAACATGACGAAACACAATGAGGGCGGTGACCGGTGGTTAGGTCTGCTGTACCCTCGGCAGCTTGGGAGATTTGAACCGTAGATGAACTGGATCCAAGTCCTCACCAAGTGCTCGCTACCAGATACCACGCCTACGTGCGACCGCCCGTCATCCCGAGCTGACGGGAGGGATGATGGCTACCTCATCGCCTGCCTGAACTTCCAGTCCATCACCTTCATCAGGGCCGGGGAGATCTACGTATTCAAGGTTGACCGTCACCAGACATGACTCTAGAATCCTCTCTTTGATACCACTGTACCTCTCTTCGAGTACATCAAAAAGCTTCTTGAGAGACATTGGGGCTGGGAAGGCCTCGTGCTCTTTGGATGTGAAGGAGCCAGCGCTGGCAAAGAACAGTACGTTAAAGTGGCCCTTGGGCGGTCTTGGTATCGCACTCATTGTCGGCTTGTGGGTTTTTTTTGTGGAGAACTGTAGTCTTTGAATTGTTAGCCAATGCCGCGAAGCTTGACGAAACACACGAAAAGTGGTTGATAAGTTGGTGTCAGAGATCTTGGTGATAATTTTGATACATCAAAGAATGTTCAGGTAATACATGCTAATTTGGATACATCATCCCAACTGTTGTAGAACATAGAAGAATAAATCGACTTACCAATTCGTGTTGAGCCCTTTCCTTGGGCTGAAGAGTAAAAGAGAAAGAAGATTTGACGATGGGCATAAAGGGAAAGTTTATAGCTGCAGGAAGCTGAGGTGGGGCCACGTCAGGAAAGATTTTTTTTTAGCAAACGCAGCCCCCAATCACGTGACGCAAAAATAAAGATTCCACTGCCCAAGCGTTCCGCGGTTCGTTTCGCGGCTGGCGGGGCAAGATCGCGACTGAGGCGGCAAATGGAGAGTCATCGTCGCGGTTTGCTGCCCAGGTCCCGGCTGGCATTGCTGGGTTTCGAAGAGTGGTCTTCGTTTTCGAGCGTTCGTTGTCCTGCAGTAAAAGCTGTGTACTTAGTTGGTCGAACAGAGTTAGATTGCGGGGCACTGAAAGAGAAGGAACAGTTTATGCAGAAGATGTTGATGAATTTTCCCAGGCTGTCCATTGATGATGATAAGCTCTCGTAAGACGCCGTTCCCTCGCCCTCCAGCGTCGCATCACAAACAGGTACACGAGGTTTTGTTCGTGCAGAAGCTGCCTCGCGGCTGGTGGGAGAACCTTGCTGTATTCGCAATGCAGAATCCGTTTTTGACTCCTCTAAGCACGAAAGCCGTGGGCTCGGGTGACGAAGCCCTCGCAATGTTCCTGTCCCATCCTCAGAACCAAGATCCGTTCCTCGTAATGTCCATAACACACGCCGCCGCCGGTGATCGCCGTCTTATCTCAGTCTGCGGGCCTCACGCTCAGACTCGAGCAGGCAAAGGATGTCGTCCTCACGGACTAGAACACAAAAAGTCAGTACCGAGCCGTTTCTCCTTTCGTTCGTTCTGCGGGAGCAGAGAATCGTGGGGTGTTCGTGGTCGCTTACCGGGTCCCTTGACGTTACGGATGATGGAACGGGTCTGGTCGTCCATGAACTCGACGCGGACCTGGGTGACACCACCGCGAGAGCCTATTACGCTGTCAGAAACATGACCAACAATTCCCTCCTTCGTCTCGGCGCATCGTCAAGTTCGATCTCGGGGAGGTATCGGTTTTCTTCTATTTTCGGGGGCTGAGCATACCGGTACGGCCCAGGACGCGGGTGACCTTCACAAGCTTGACGGGCTGCTTAGCGGAATCCATTTTGACTGCAGTCAAAAATTACGTCAGTCGTCAAGATCTCTGTCAATTTCGGCGTTCGTGGCACGTACATGTATGTGGTTGCGAAGGTGCTGGTGATGGCTGCGCTTTGGGGAGGGACTCGGAGTTGGGCGATGGATTGCAGATGCGATGCGATGGGTTTGTGGAAGGAAAGGGCAGGAAAACCCTGAGAAGGAAAGAACGACCCAGCGCGGGCTTTGATTGGACCAATCCCGCGGTTCGGTTTTGGCACTAACCATCTTTGCTCACCGCCCTCGCTCCCTCCTAGTCAGAGCGTTTTCTGCCCCGCAACATGGCAAGTCACTAAACCGTTACCTCACTATGGCCCGCAGGCTGAGCAGGATATGCAAGTGAACAGGATGTATGCACATCGTGGAGTGCGAAGCCTCAAAGCTGTATTGGAGGATTCGGCTTCAGACTGCATTTTGACAGGCATTTAACATTTGCTCCGATCAATACAACCCTTTGGTGACTCAAGTCTGAGTCCCATTTGCGCCCACATTGCCTTGCAGAGACCTTTAACAGTGCTTGCGTCTTGTCCAGGCAATGTCGCGGTTTTCAATATGCTCAGGCACCTTGTCTCCAGGTCCAAGTCAGTTGCAGGCTAGACTTGTACAGACCGAATGCCTGCTGTCAGAGCACTATATCACTTTTCGATCCCAAAAAAGAGCATCACAAGTCACCAAGTTCAAGAGAGCTTTGTTGACGCTCAGCTCAACTACAAGGATAAAAGCAAGGGTATCATTCGACGGCCAGAAGCCAATCACGGCAACTTCGCAATGCGTCCCTCCAAGTCCTTGACCCAGGCCTCCATGACCTTCATGTTCCCCGTCATAGCAGTGTTGCCCTCCTTCATCGCTTCTTCAACCTTCTCCAAGCCATCCTTCCACTGTTTAAGGTCGGTAGCCATGTCTATCTGCTGCCTCTCGATCCGTTCGAGCATCTCGCTTGCAGTCGCGGCGTCAGAATGGATTGCCCGGAGTGATCTTAAACGGTCCAGCAGTGGTGGCAGCAGGGGAGCCAGATTCTCAATTGTGGGCAAAGTTCCATAGAGGGCGTTGATCTTGGCCAGCTGCTCCGAAGGTTGGGCGCCTTCGCTGTCCGCTGGACCGTTGTCAAGCGTTTCCTGCGCGGACTTGGCCCCTTGCCTCGCCTTTTCCAATTCTTGAGCCTCCTGAATCAAAGTCCGCACTCGACGACTGATCGTATCGAGGTTTGACGTCGAAGCCTGCGATAGGGTTGTGATTTGCTTCTGAAGGCCGTCGAGAGTCGGGAGAATGGCTCTCGGTAGTCCGTTGATATCGACCTCGGGCAAAGCAGTTGAGCCAACCCCAATGGCCTTCTCGAGAAGGACGAGCCGTCTGTCGAAGTCCGCTGCCTTGGCAAGAGCGTGGCTTTGTTCGTATGTAGGAGCATAAGTGACGGTGTACGTCGCAGCGTTTCCTTGAGGAAGCTTATCATGCGGCCCTTCTTGTTGCTGCTTAGGTAACTGAGATGCTGGCTGAACAGCACGAGAGCTTGAGGTGTGCGGCTTGATGGTTCTAGAGATCTCGTCGAGGACCTTGCTCAGAGACCCCAGTTTCTCTTCTTCATCTCCAGGAGCGGGCTGTGCTGCGGCTTCCTTTCTCTTTCCGTACTCCTCTTTGGCTTCCTCGACTTCGCGCTGCAACCGCGCAATCTTCCGTTCCAGATTATTCTCGTCATCCTCGTCACTAAGATCACCGATTTCCGCCGTGCCGTCTTGGAGGATGCGCTGGCGTCTAGTCGAGGCCTTGTAAGACTTGCGTTTGCCGTCTACCCGATCCGAGAAGTCGACCTCTGTGGCATCCACTCCCGCGGGCAGAAAGCGAGACCGCGCTTGGTCTACTCGAAGTCGGGATCGCGAGATTCCGTTGGCGTCCTCGTCCAGGTCGTCGTCGAAGTCATCGTCTGAGTGCGACTGTCCGGTCGTCGTCTGCTGCACATCAGCCAGTGTCCCTAGTGTAAGAAGAAACCAATCTCACAGGAACAGTCGAAGTGTCGTCGGTCAGCTCTGGGGTCTCGTACACATCAGGGGCCGAGTCCTAGGCGGTGTCAGTAGAGCTGCTCATGCTCTAGCCAATCAGGGACACGGTTGCTCTGACCAAATCTGGAAGCGCGGCGTATTTGCGGTTCAAGGCCATGATGACAATCCAAAGGGTTCGCGATAGACAGTTTTCAGACACACTGCTTGGGGTGGGGTCTGTCAAGACGTCCGAACGGCGTCGTTTGTGGATGGTGACAATGTCAATCGCGAAGTGCAGTAAAGTCAACAAAGTGATCGAGACCCCTACGCGGAAAGGAGCTCCTAGCTTCAGTGTCACAGGTCGCTGAGCCGCAGGGGCCACCCACTTATTAAAACTCCCCGTACGTACCTAAGAGGCGCGAGTTGCAGTGATAGGTGGGGTAGCATCGGAACGCTGTGAATCTGCCCCCGAGCAGGCAGGCACGCGTCGAGAACGCGACTGCAGCTTTGCTCGTTTCCCCAAAGAACACTTAACCTCAAGCGGGCAACAACTTTTGTGGCCCCCGATCGCCAAACAATCTCTCTTCGCACTCGATGCGACCGGACCCTCGCAAAGGAGCCCACAGGCCGTCAATTGGCGTATATGTCGCCTCACAACGCATATGCCGGCTCCTTCCGACCAGATTCTGCCACCTCACCAAGGTTCTCGATTGGCAGCTTAGCCGGTCAGGACTGATGGTGGACTCCCTTTGAGAAGCTTGCAGATCATTCAACAGAGTTGCCTCTTCATCCCTAAAGCTCGGTGTCTCGCGCACAACTAGGCACATCTCAAGACTGATCCTGCCAACATGCCCAGCGGAAGCAATTATCAGAATGAGCGGCGTGCAGGCCTCTCTAGGAATGCAAAGCCCCTCCTTTGCTCAAGACGCTCCGAGGCAAGTCTCGTTTCGAGCCTAAAAACATCGATGATCCGCCCATGGATGACACGGAGTCGGAGCTGAGTGAGCCAGAACCTCCTGCGACCAGTCAGCCGGCACCTTCAGAGAACCATCAGAGTGAGAGCTTAGGTTCAAATCTTACGAAGCCTTCACCATCATCACAGCTCAAGGAGAACCGCTTCAAAAGCAGTTCCAGGCCCACTACAGACTACTCAGACTCAGATGAGAGTCCACGTTCATCTCGTGCGGATATTCAACGTACCCCTTATTACGGCACTTCAAAAAGAGGGCAGGAACAGGCTAAGGAGTACAGCGCGTCCCAACAGGGTGGTCTGGGCTTGAGACGGGTTGCTAGCTCTAAGGGTTCAAGCATTACAGCTCGTGCGAGCAAGAGAACCTCGCCCGACGATGCTTCGCCCAACTCAATATCTAATAAAAGGAGGGCACTGACCGGCAAGCTTGACGATGAGAAAGAGGTGAGAAGATTGCGAGGAGGAGGGAAGTCCTACTCTCAGCGGGACAATAAAAACATACAGCGATCGAGGAAGTTGCCTGAAAAATCAACGATAAGAAGTTCGCAAGAAAAGGCGGCAGCTAATCGGAGGAAAGAAGGTTGGCTCATTCTACAATTGCTGTTCTAAGTTCTTACTTACACTCATCCAAGGTCGCTCCCCGAGTCCAAGAAGGCCCCAGCCGTCGTTCAAGGCATACGACGAGGATCCATTCGATCAATTCCCTAGCAAGGATCCGCACAAAGGCCTCGTCAAACTCCCATCCTTGCCATCTTCACCTCTTGGCAGCCCTCCAAGAGCAACTTTCCTCAAGCATTCGTCTCTCAGTCCTGAAACATTGCCTCGGCATGCCACCAAGGCCGAATTCAAGCACCCATCTGGCTCGTTACCTGAACCTCTGCAAAGTCCTAGAAGGAAGCCAACTAGTCTCCGCGATCTGGACTCAAGCCCCAAGCCCCCGTCCAAAAAGAGAGAGGAGAAAGACTCATTCTTGGATCTCTCGGACAACTCAAACTCCGATTTCGATATAGAGACACGTTGCCCAATGTGCAGTGAAATTGTCGACAAGGCTCTCTTGGAGAGCTTTTCAGGGGTGCACGGCTTCATATCCGCAGGCAGATTCAGTTCTGTCGACTGCACAAAAAGAAGTCAGCCGAAGATGCTTGGGATGCCCGGGGATATCCCAACATCAACTGGGAAAGTCTTGGCTCTCGACTCACAGCTCATTACGACTTTCTTCAGGACATCGTCAACGGCGGTTCATCTCACTACGCTTCACTATTGGACGACAAGGTTAAGGAAGGCAAGAATCGGACATTGCTGAAAGCAGAGGGCAGCCTGACGCCGGGATACTACGGTCCACGAGGCCTTCGTGCGCTGTCAGAAAACATTGTTGGCAGCTTTTCGACGATTCTGAGGGAACGAGCTGTGGAAGACCGGCTCATATCATCGCGTGGATATTCTAGCTATGTGGAGGCAGTCCTGGTTCCCGAGTTGGCTGTTCAGTTGATCTGCGAGGACATGGAGGTCGAGACTGACGAAGCAAGAACGATACTCGAAGAAAGCAGGTGGATTGGCGATCTGCTTCACGAAGACATTGGGGATACAGTTGATCAGCTAAGCGACGATGAACAGACAGGCCATTGATGGATGGAAAATGGCAAGGGGCATGTGGCGAGTAAACTCTTAAGTGACTAGGGACCAGGTCGCCTGTATCTGGCCTCGGGTTGGCCTCAGTTGGCTGTCAAATAGCATCACGGAGAGGAAAGCGGAATGATAAGTGTCATGGCGAACGTTAACTGTTCGTCTTGGTCCACTCTTGTGTTGTGTTACAAAAAGCTCTCTTGCAGAATGTTGGTGTCATGGCTAATGATTCATTGGATGCCTACCAGTCCATTACAAGTATCAAACTAAACGCCAGTCATAGCAAACTTTTCATAACTTTACAACCCCAAAGCCTCTCTTCTGCCCGTGCTGTTCGAATCAAGATACGGCGCCTCGCCGAGGGACGCCACGCGGTCGCCCGCTCGGGCGTCGACATAGTCGTAGGTCGCGCAGTGCCACATGCTCCGGTTGTCCCAAATGGCAAGGTCGTTCTGGCGCCACTTGAAGCGGACCTGGGCATCGTGGTTCTGGGTGACGAGGTTGAAGAGGTAGTTGAGGAGGATGTCGGACTCGTCCTTTGTGACGCCGTTGATGCGCTTTGTGAAACCCTTGTTCACGTAGACGGACTTCCAACCAGTCACAGCTGTGGGTTTTGTCAGCGTTCTGGACTCCCAGGGATTCGGCCTAGGGGGGCGATCACTCACGGTTGGTGCGGATGACGGGATGGATGGCCTTGAGCTCGGAGCCCTTGTTCAGCGGTGAGCCTCGGAGACCCTCTCGGAGAGGGTTGCCCAGCCTCCGGGCCTCGTCGTGGAAGAATGTGGCGTCGTGGGTTGCTGTCAGCCCTTCCAGGAATTTCTGCATGGCAGGGGAAAGTCTGTCGTAGATCTCATATCCAGAAGCCCACAGCTAATCCCGAGATGTTCAGTGAGCGGCAAAGTCCATCTGCATGCATTTGCAAGGGAGTGGCAATGCAACAGGGGGGGTCATAAGGGGATTGCAGAGATAAACGTACCGTGTCACCACCGGTCGGCGGCAGGGTGTGGATCTTGAGCATTGCGTAGTCTGAGGGGACCTGCTCAAACGAGATGTCGGTGTGCCAGCCGGCGCTGGCGAAACGGCTCACGTCGCTCAACTGGTGAGTGAGGCCGCCTCCCTTCTTCTGCTTCTCGCTGCTGATGACGCTAATCTGGTCACCGAGCTCGCTACCCTCCTCGGTCAGGGGGTGGATGTGAAGGCCTGATGATTCGGGCTGGTTCGGCTGAGTTAGGAGGCAGGGACGACGACAAGATGAGGCTGGCACATCTGGTGTTGGTCTAGACTTACACATCCGGCGAGTTCTGTGAGGCGGAGACAGAAGTTCTTCATTTGATTTGGCGTGACATCCTGGTCTCGCAGGAAGACAACTCCGCGCTGAGAAACTGAGGTCACTCTTAGTATAAGGTACTCTCGGGTGAGAATGGGAGTTGTTGTCAAGACTTACTTGTGACAGCCAGGTCCCTGATAACCTGGTCGTCGGCCTTGAGGAGATCAACCACCTGGAGGCCCTCGTACTCCCGGCCAATTACAGGGGTAATGTCGGCGTTCTTGTAGTTGTCCAAGGAGCCGGTGTAGACGAGCGGCTTGCTCAACCGAGGGCGGGCAATGGGGTTTCCGCCGACGATGTTGGCCTCGGCTGCGCCGTTTGAGACTGCAGAAGGCATGGTGTTATTGTTGCCGTTGCTGTGTGAGTTGCTAATCTTTCGTGACTTGAGGGCTTGTATGTTTTCCGAGCTGGGGGATGAAGGGCGCTTAAGGGTTTCGTCGAGCATGATTTAGAGAAGATCTGATAACCAAAGAAGACTGCAAGATATATATGAGTGGTTTTATGTCCGAAACAGCCGTGATATCTCTATCTCCAAGTACAAGTACGTATC